ATCACTTTTCATCTTACCTTCTCGAGCTCAAGCTCCTCCTCCACCTCTTCGACCGCCAACTTCCTCTGGGCCCAACTTTTAACAGTTGCGTCGAGATCAAGACCATCGGAAAGCGCGCTATCTTCTATACCAGGAAGCGCAAAACAAATATTCACCATTGCACTTGCAGGAGCCAAATTCTCAACTGAGGTGCGATAGTACTATAAAACTCCGCTGACCTAAGAGCATGTCTTGTAAATGTGGAGGAATTACCTTATCTAAGTGAATTCTCTGAAATTTATTTGAGAGCTAACTGACAGGTGATATAAAAAAAAAGATTTATAATTTTAACACCATGAGTTAGCAGAAAACCCCTGGTAATTTATTTGGTCGGATTGTGATCAAAAGTTTGATCACAATTGTCAAGTGACACAAATATAGATAGCATTCACCAAAACGAAACTCTGGAACTCTTATAAAGTGCAAGCATGTCATTCGAGCCATCACCTACGGTAATATATTAGCCAATGGTAAGCGTGAATGTAGGAGCAAAACTATCTCGTGGGTAGCAGTTCTAGGATAGGAATAGAAGTTTTTTCACTGGAGCAGCCCGTTTGGGATCCTAAATCTGTCCTTTCTCAAGATCCAAGCCCTAAATCTAAGGGGGGGGGGGGGCTTCCGGATTCCAAGTCAAACCAGTCTACCCTTTAGGGAAATAAGAAAGCACGGCAGTTTAGGATTCTAAACCCTACGGGAATCACTCCACTCTCATCCGCATTTGACCGGTCCCATGCTGTCTATCCCCAGAGAACTTGCTACATGTAGGAATTTAATGTATGTGTGACTTCCATCTATACTATTTATGTCGCGCCTAGAATTTATTCGGGTCAGTAGAATAACACCCTCCAGCTAAAAAAAGACTATTTCTCTACTACTAGATGATGCACGCCTCTGTCTACTATATGGGCAACGCCAAAACCTCTTCACGTGGCGCACCTATATTTTAGCCTGCCTTCTAATAGCCGCAGAGTTACCACTGTATAAGAGTGTCTTATAAAGTCAAGTTTTGGGAAAAATAGTCTGATCATTTAGGACCACAAAATTGTGTCAGACTGCGAACTTAACAGATAAGGTAATTCCTTGGCCAATCAGCGACCACTGTCGTGTTGACGGCGTCATCCCAATCAAATTATATCAAATCTGCAAGACCATAATGGGGCCGCTCGATTTGGTTGACCAAGTGGAGCGCTTGGGCGTTGGCATCGCTCTGGTTGCGGCGGTGTTGGGAGCGCTGTATCTGTGGCAACAAGCGGTGGGCGATGTCGGCACCACGAAGATGCTCCGTGACTTTAATCTCGTGCGGGTTCTGAAGCGCACGGACACGGAGTTGGCAGTTTTGGGCAATTTCAAGAGTGATAACCACAAGAAGGCAGCTGTACTGATCATTCAATCAGCGGCTATGGATACAAGGACACTGAGCCAATTGCTGGCGGGAATATCGCTGCACGAAATCCTGGTTAACGACATCTACAGCACATTCCAGGGAGACGTATCGCGCGATATCAAGCCGTACAAGGTACGAAAAAGGAGACTGCAGTGGACCGTGGTATGTGTGTTGCAGGAATAATGCGTTTGCTGTATCTTGTATTGACCAGGTGAATTTGATCTACCCGGCAACGGAACGCCACGTGCGAAAGCACACGGACCAGAACTTCCACATGGTGGTGGAGACCAAGGAGGCGTATCGGATGATCACGAAGCCCTTCATTGATAGCATTCCGGCGGAGAACATCGATTGGGTCTACAACATTTTGGACCAGTAAGTGTGCTGTATCCTTGGTCGAGAGCTTCGTATTAATCGATTTAATTGCTTTACAGTAAGAGCGAGACGGAGCGAATAATATACGAGGACACACACCACCGCAACGGATTCGTCCTTCTTCCCGACTTTAAGTGGTCGGATCCGTCAAA